ATTGAATTCAGGGGGGGGGCATGGAAGCGGTGCCACTGAATTCAGGGGGGGGCGTGGAAGCGGTGCCATTGAATTCAATGCACCGCCACGCCCCCTCCGGCCCCAAAATGCGGGAAGAAGTTTCTTAGCGATCACGGTGCGTTCCAGCAAGCTACCGCTCTGGAACGCACACGCTTTCTGTATGAACAAGCCCTCAGATAGTTGTCACTGGAACAAGTGTCTCCATTAGAGGAGATCCCCTGGTAAAATTTGGGATTATCAGTTGCTTTCTGTCCCAGTGACAACGTTCCCCAAGTATATCAGAAAGGGGAAATCACCCCCGGCATCATCAGCCAGGAAACCAACATTTCCATTGGAGAAGAGCAGTGGCATCCCCCCATCCCCCCCCATTTCTTCTCCAGCGCCCGTCTCTTCGTGAATCTGTTTCATTTTTTTTGTATGCCCTAAATTGGAAGACAACATTATCTTTGTTTTTAAATCCTCATTAAGACACCTGGTCCCTGGGAATTAGTTATGCAGCGTAAACAGACCCGTTCCTCTTCTCTCCGTTGCTAGGCTAAGATGAAATCTGGAAATTTGCAGGCTGGGAAATATGCGGAGATGCAACACATTTTATTCGATGTGCAAATGCACAATTCTTCCGCCACCTTCACACACAACAGGAGACGTCTTGTTTCTGAGCCTTCCTGCGGAGAGGTCCGGGGGGTCACGCCGCTGTGGGGACTTGTAGCCGTATTGCCGCCGCTGCTCTCTCCGCACAGTAATAGCTGATGCGTCTCTGCGGGGGAATGCGTTATGTCTAAGCAATATTAGTGCGAAATTAAAATTGTGCCCCCTTTGCCGTTGCAGATGAGCTGACCCTGCAGGGCCCGGTGTTCACCCAGGAGCCATCCAATATTGTCTTTCCTCTGGACTCCGAAGATCGGACGTTGCGGCTTGTGTGTGAGGCTCAGGGCCACCCCAAACCTGTCACGCGGTAGGTACCTGTGCTGTGGTGTATAAGCTGGCTCACGTTGTCTGTGAAGGTTTTCATATATCCAGGTCATGGTATAGATAGTAGTAGTCGGTGTTGAAGATGTTCACCATACCAGGAACATACCCCAGCATTTATACCCCCACCATACCAGGAACATACCCCAGCATTTATATCCCCACCATACCAGGAACATACCCCAGCATTTATATCCCCACCATACCAGGAACATACCCCAGCATTTATATCCCCACCATACCAGGAACATACCCCAGCATTTATATCCCCACCATACCAGGAACATACCCCAGCATTTATATCCCCACCATACCAGGAACATACCCCAGCATTTATATCCCCACCATACCAGGAACATACCCCAGCATTTATATCCCCACCATACCAGGAACATACCCCAGCATTTATATCCCCACCATACCAGGAACATACCCCAGCATTTATATCCCCACCATACCAGGAACATACCCCAGCATTTATATCCCCACCATACCAGGAACATACCCCAGCATTTATATCCCCACCATACCAGGAACATACCCCAGCATTTATATCCCCACCATACCAGGAACATACCCCAGCATTTATATCCCCACCATACCAGGAACATACCCCAGCATTTATATCCCCACCATACCAGGAACATACCCCAGCATTTATATCCCCACCATACCAGGAACATACCCCAGCATTTATATCCCCACCATACCAGGAACATACCCCAGCATTTATATCCCCACCATACCAGGAACATACCCCAGCATTTATATCCCCACCATACCAGGAACATACCCCAGCATTTATATCCCCACCATACCAGGAACATACCCCAGCATTTATATCCCCACCATACCAGGAACATACCCCAGCATTTATATCCCCACCATACCAGGAACATACCCCAGCATTTATATCCCCACCATACCAGGAACATACCCCAGCATTTATATCCCCACCATACCAGGAACATACCCCAGCATTTATATCCCCACCATACCAGGAACATACCCCAGCATTTATATCCCCACCATACCAGGAACATACCCCAGCATTTATATCCCCACCATACCAGGAACATACTCCAGCAATTCTACCCCACCATACCAGGAACATACCCCAGCATTTATACTCCCACCATACCAGGAACATACCGCAGCATTTATACCCCTACCATACCAGGGACATACTCCAGCAATTCTACCCCACCAAACCAGGAGGGGGACACCACGCAGTGACATCATCGTTCACGCGCATGATGACATCACACACTGTACCGCTGTTACCTACCGGCGGCCATCTTGACCGAGTGCCCAATTTTTCAGAGGGGGGGTTGACACCAAAATGACTGTCAGTCATTTTGGTGTCACCCCTTCAATGGTGTCACCCTGTGTGCGGGCCGCACCCCCTGCAGCCCCCCTTGTGACGCCACTGCTAACATGTATAATGCTGTTTTAAATTCTCTACCCCAATGTTTTACCAACGGTTCACATATTGTAAATCGAAGGATTAAGACCGAAACAGACTTCCTGGCACCAAGGATGGGATTATGTAACTACAACAGGGAGGTTCATCAACTTTTATACCTCCCATCCTGTTCTTGGACAACCAACAACTACACATTCCATGGTGATTGGATGATGGTGTCTGTGCTACCTGTGTGGATATATATGGCGGTGTATCTTGCTGATACTCATTAGAACCGATGAAGTGGTTTGGAGAATATTCAACATTACAGAACATGTCCAGCTGAATTTGACTATTTCTAGCTATACTGTCTCATGATGAGGGCGTTACACCAGCAATTTTTAATCTTGCAGTTAGTGCCGCTATACCCATCTGCCATTGATAGCTTGCCTTGCATTTTTCTGCAGATTTGCAGTTATCTGACTAAATGACTGCCGTCCTTTGCTAAAAATATTGTCTCATCATGAGAAAGTACTTGTGACTAATCTCCGAACCTCTGTAGACTTTAATGGAAGTTGGAGAGTAATCAGGCAATCATTCATGAGATTTATGTTTGTTTTTTAAGCATAACCCTACAATATTGAAGAGGGACTCTGAGAACCAAATAGACAGTTCAGCTACATCTAGGTGAAGATTTATAATTCTGCTCAGCCAGTTTTAGAATCCAGACGTCTCTACACATAGGAAAGTGGATAGGTAGCTGGACCCTAGGCTTGTCCTATTGGTATTACTATACAAACGATACAATAGTATTATAATGGAGTTGGTACAGGTTACCGATACAATAGTATTATAATGGAGTTAGTACAGGTTACCTATACAATAGTATTATAATGGAGTTGGTACAGGTTACCGATACAATAGTATTATAATGGAGTTGGTACAGGTTATCGATACAATAGTATTATAATGGAGTTAGTACAGGTTACCGATACAATAGTATTATAATGGAGTTGGTACAGGTTACCGATACAATAGTATTATAATGGAGTTAGTACAGGTTACCTGGTTACCAAGCTGGCAGCTTCTACACACCAGAGGATTCACACAATTTCCTTGGTTGGCAGTGCAAAACAACACATCTGAGACTGAAGCTCCACACCACAAGATAATAGTCCAGATACAATTTTATTCGAACGTAGGATCGGGCAGAAGATCAAAAGAGGAAGCCAATACGTTTTTGGGGTCCAAAATCGCCCCCTTCATCGGAGTGTAAAGAGGAACTTTACCCACCAATTGAACAGTTACTTTTAAGGCATGCCAACTGTCAAGGTTGCCAGAGTGCTCATGTCCGCTCTCAACTGAACTTTCAAGCCCTCATATGACTGGTGCCATACAAGATCACATGTGGAGCACCATGGCAACTGCAATCTAAATAGAGGTTAAGATGGCACCTCCCAAGGATAAGAGCTTGTAGCTCAGTTGTAAAGATGCAAAACAATATATATGGACTTATATGAGGGTATATGAGGGTGTTTTGACCAGTATAATGTCAGGCACCGGACTCGTCAACAGCTGGTTTGGCAGCAACCTTTAGATTTCACAAAACCTGTACTGCTTCATACAACAGATCTAAGATTGAAGCACTACAGAAACATGTTGCCATCAACCCACCTGCTGACGAGTCCCTGCGCTTGATAATATACTGGTCAAAACACCACCGACATTGTACCCTCAATTAAGTCCATATACAGTATATTGTTTCTCCCCTTCAAGCCCTGATGAAGGGTGTGATTTCAGACCCAAAAACACGTTGGATTCTGCTTATGGGCTTCTACCTAACCCTACATTGGTCCAGTACTACCTATCGATTGTCAGTTAGCCCTGAAGAAGGGGGAGATCTTTGAACCTTCCTTGACTTCCTCTTTTGATCTTCTACCTGACCCTACATTGGTCCATTGCTCCCTATCGCTTTTCACCTAGCCCTGCAGGGAGATCTTTGAACCCTTGTTGACTTCCAATTTTGATCATCTACCTGACCCTACACTGGAATAAAACTGGACCTGGCCCATTTACTTGTAGTGTGGAGCTTTAATCCATTGCTTTGCACTGCCCAGTCAGCTAACCACAGTACTATTTCCTGCTTTGCCAGCTCTGTGTCTTTAGCCTGCCCATTGGACAGTAATCTGCCATTATCCAAATCTCCATTGAGCAGGCTGGTGACACAGGAAACTGTAAAGCTAAAGCAAAAGATATTGCTGTCACTCTCCACCTCTTCTGTCTGGCGGGAATGTCTGGGTCACAAGACTAAAGAGAAGTTGGGGTAAGGCACTGGACTCAAATCTGTAACCTGTAAAAATAAATAATTGGTTGAGCCCTATGGCTCGGATTTGGCAGCTCTCCACATAGCAGGAGACTCCCCAAAAGGAAGGGGTCACCCAAATTGCAAAATCCATGTAAATATGAGTACCAAAATGTATCTCAAGAGTCCAGAATTATTTATTGTGATCATCATACATTATAACCGGAAGGTAAAAGGCATCCGACGCATTTTGGGGATCACAGATCCACCTTCATCAGAACCTAAACAATATAACAAAAAGTATCTATTGGATTCCAAACAAAAGCTCCTGGATAGAAATCTCTGCAGGAGAAAATTATTAGGTTGTTGTACCCAGGGCCGGATTTCCCACAAGGCCAACCAAGGCCCAGCCTCGGGGCAGCAGGGAGTAGAGGGACAGCAGGGATGTGAAATTCCTATATCCCGATTCCCGGGACATGCAGTTCCGGGCGCCGGGCGGGTAGTTGTTTTCTATATTTAGCCCGGCTTTGGGCAAGCAGAACTAAATGTACAGCGGGGAAGCCGCCACTTGTTTTGTACAAGTGATCCCAGCGATGTCGCCGAGGTCACAGGTATGCAGTCTGCAGGTCTTCCATTCTCCATGGGGGGGTTGGCGGGTAGGGGGGGTGCACTGAGGAGCCTGGCCTTGGGGCAGCAGAGAGATTAAATCTGGCCATGGTTGTACCGACATATCAGGTCAAGGGCTGCGGTCCTGCAACACTGAGGAAGGGGAATAGGTGTCCCCCGAAATGCATTGGTTACCTTTTGCCTTCCTGTCGTGACTTTGGTGCTTTCTTTTAGCTTATTTATACATGTGCTACAAAACTAGCTGAACTAGCTACTTTGACATGTAAAAATCATCACATGTATGTCTTTGTTTTATGTATTTAACTAATTTTCTGAAGTTTCCTGAATTTTATAAGATGAGTCTTTCAGCAATTGTCCATAAATCTGGAACAGCAGCAATAAGCAGTTTTGTGTTTTGGAGATTTTATTTTACCCTCTGAGTTTAAATATGCCTTGTGTGGCCCTCACCTGACTCATATGGGCCCTTGATTAAAGGGTCATGTGATCACCTTACCGCACGTCAGACCCACCACATATTTTTCATCTTCTTGATTGGCTGAGCACCTTTGTGTCTTCTGATATATCTGCAGGTGGAGAGTGAACGGCACCCTTTTAGATGAAGCCCAGGATTATCGCTACCGAATTCTAGACAGAAGTTTGATCATCAATTCTCCGGATCGGGACCGAGATGTCGGCATCTTTCAATGTGAAGCCACCAATTCGGTGGGGACCATCCTGAGCCGCAAGGCTAGCCTCCAGTTCGCTTGTGAGTGACAGATTTTTCTCTCCGTTCAGTGTAGGGATCGATCGATAAACACCATGCAATAAGGCTTTACCTTGTGGCGATTTAGGACAGTCATAGTGGCTGCTGATTGGTGGCTGTGGAGAAAGCAATTGTCACAGACCTGTTTTCCTGTGGTGCTTCCCTCCCAATGTTCTGTATATCGGTATGGCACGGCGGGTACACACACCTGTCACTGAAGCATTGCATTATACCACTTAAAGCTTACTTGTGATTGGCACAACTGGGGGTTGTGGGGGGTTGTAGGTATCTGTTGGTGTTGTCCATCCAGAGAAAGGTGAGAGGGTGGATGGGGAGCATTGGGGGGATGGGGGGTTGCCGGTGGTGAAGGTTCTGTTGGAGGGTCCAGATTGCCGGCCAGAGCATCCCGCTCAGCTCCTGGAAACTGGTGACATCACTTGTTGCCAAGAGCTGGACAGGGTGCCGACCACAGCATCCCAGGTCTGTTAGCTCTGGACAGAAAGTAGCTTGCCCTCCCCCAATGTAACCCAAAGAGATGCCGCTTGAGCCAAAAGCCTCAGGCTGCCTCATTGTAGGGATCACGACCCACATTTCGCCCACCCACTTTCTGGCTGTGTGCTCTCAAATTACATCTACTTTATGATTGCTCCTACCCAGACACCACCTCTAAATATGAAGGGACTGCCTTCCACGCCCACTTTACAGATTGTTCCCGCCACAACCCTGCCTCTAAAAATGTGGAGACTGCGTATTTGCGTCCCTGATTCCCACAAGTAACGCCCTTTTGAGTTACTACACATGCGCAGTAATGGGGGACAGTTGGCATCAGAGACCATCTTTGGCTTGGTTTTGGAGAGTGGCAAGGAAACACACGCCACTCCCCGTCTGTTGCATTCTTACCAACATTATGATCCCGTATCCTGCATTTCCTCCGCCCACTTGAAGGGTCGGTCCTGCCCAGACCCCACCTCTAAATATACAGAGACCTCCCATCACAACTTTGTGGGGTTGATCCTGTCCAGACCCCACCTCTAAATATGCATGGACCGCCCACTCACGGCAGCAATCCCCGCAATAAATTAAAACTCTAATAGGGTTGATTAGTTGGGTGGATTGGTTCACTTCGATCTTCCATTAAAATGTATAAAAAAGGACATAAATGTCATATATTGCAGCTTACCAGTCCTTATATGTGGTGGCTGAATTTATTTTCTTTTTTCTTTCCCTTTTTTTTGGTGATTCGGCCAATAGCGAACTTCCTGTCCTAATGTGACAACGCTCACCCACTGTACTGTATCTATGGAGAAGCTGTGTTGTCACTCTGGGGCAGGACCCAGATAGCAAGGATAACTTGCCACAAACTTGTGTCAGGGTTAAATTGTAATTTTTGTTACCTTGCTGCACACATTCCTGGCCGGTTGTAGACTCGCAGAACACTCGCAGCACAAGTTCTAGGCGACACTTTTTGAATTTGTAGCAAATTTGCTTGGCAAGTCTACAGCAAGAGTCCTGCAGGTCTTAGCGAGAGCTCTGCAAGCTCGCTGGTCTGGAGACTTGCAATGCAGACTCGCTGTAATTGTGCAACAAAATTGTGAAGCTCGGCAAGTCTGCAATAGTTTAGCGAGTTATTTTTCAAACTTGCAGCACAATTGCTTGCTATCTGGGGACTACAGGAGACCCACCTTGCCTGTTTTCCATACATGGAAATGTCCTGTAGTCTGCTGAGATAGCTGGTAACAGTATTGATTGATTAGAGCTCAGCATGGATGGGGAGCACAGGCAGGGCCGGTGCTAGACTATTTTGCGCCCTAGGCAAGACCAGCTACTTGCACCCCCACCCCCCCCCTCCCGTGGCACAACCCCCAATCTCCTGCGGGTTAGCTTCTGCAGGTGACAGGTGGATGTAATGTAATTTGAAATAGCCAATAGCAGACTGGCTATTGAAACTCCACCCACTGAGCAGAGGCGCAAACCAGAGAGAGAAAGTTGTCTCTCAGTTACTCTCCTCTGCTCAGTGGGCGGGTGGAAAAGCCAGCCTGCTATTGGCTTTTGTAATTTGAAATAGACGGGGGTGCCGTGGGGGGGTGAATGTTCAAGGCTGCGCCCTAGGTTTCAGTGCACCCCAGGCGGCTGCCTAGTTTGCCTAGTGGCAGCACCGGCCCTGAGTCGCAGGAAGTGATCAGCACACTGGATTCCTGTCAGGATTAACAGATATAACAAAACACATTCAATGGTACTGTATATTTAACAGGGAGCCAATAGGAGAATTGTATTGTTGGGTTTTCACACAGTTTAAGTAAACATTGTTCTCCTTCCCTTTCCTGTATCTGTTGGGTTTTGGTTATCGGTGACTGGAGTTGCTAGGAGACTTCGGCAACGTGTCCGCTATCCCTTCAGCCCGTCCCTCCACACTTAATTTCCTGCCCCCCTCCTCCCTGCTGGACTGCGGCTAATTAAATGATCAGCACGAGATTGAGTTCAGGTCAATTAATTAGGAAATATTTGTAGCGGTGACAGTCACATTACATTATGGCTCTTTTTTTTTTTTTTACATCAACAAATCAAAGGAAGACGTCGGAGTCCTCCCTCCTGCCCGCGGCAAGGCGACGGAGGGGCCCCCTGAAAAATGACACATTCCGACATCCGCTCAGCTGTCAGCCGCGACATCAAACAGCAGGGCAGGGGCAGAGACGTGCTGCGACGGAATAACACACAGCAGACGAGGACGCGAGACCTACTAAAGAGCGCAACAACGAGACAGTCAGGGGTGGGGGG